TTAACTAGACCGGATCATCAGCAATGCAAAAGTGCAGTACAGGCTGCACTGGAGGAGCAGCTTGCACCTTACTGCGGGTGGGCCCAGCAAATGGCTATTCACCGTCTCCTGTTTCTAGAGCCTCCCTGGCCTCTCTCACGCGAAGAACGACATTTGCTCGAAAATCTTTACGTGCAGCCTGCAGTTTGGTGGTCACCGGCGCAGGAGAACAGGTTTTTCACAACCCTTGCAGAGAGGCGTGTAAGGGGCGCTTTGAATCCTGATGAGGAGCCCATTCAGCTCCTTCTGCAGCTTTTGTCGGCGTCTTTGACTCCTCCGCAAAGACAGCATTTGGCCGCTCTCCTTGGCGTGCCACATTCGCAGCGCGCAAGTCATCAACCGCCAACGATTCTGTCAACAGAGCATACAGCAGTTCCTACACCTGGCCAAATGAGGACCATGGCTCTTCTTCAGCGTGTCCTAGAAGGTGAAACGCTGAGTCCTGTTGAAAATGGTCTTTTACAGGAGGGAATCCTGCGGGAACTTTTGCAGTTGTTGCCCTGTGAAGACGTGCAAGTGCTTTATAGTTTGGTGCTCTCCAGTGATCCGATTCCTGTACGTCGATACGGTGTACCGATTCTGGAGGAGTTGCAGTCTGCTCGGGCCCTGTGGGAATCCGGGGGAAACATCATGGGGTATGTGAGACAGATAGGCAGCAGTGGGCTCCGGCAGCTTTTTATATATTGTCTGGCCGCTTCCCTGACCTTCCAGCAGCGTAAAATAATATCACAATTACTAGGCGAGAATCCGGAGAAGCAGAAACCCGATGAGGAGCAGGAAGGCTCTCAAGACACCTCTGCAGGCATGCAACCAGGCGTCTACCCAGCGAATTGCCCACTTCATGGGGAAGCTGTGGGAGATAGAGCGACGGAGGATCCAAAAGCCCGATGCGGGCGAGATAAGGAAGTCTGCAGCGCTGCGAAGGTGGCAGGAGGAGGTCCTGCTGATTTGCAAATGGAGCCGATGATCGCATTGACTCGCGAACAGGCAGGTATGCTTGAGCATCTGCTAGAGTTGCGCCATGCTGGTTGCCAGGCTTCACGGGAAGACGACGTGCTAGCAGACGTGCTCAGCAGGTTCAAGTTTTCAGGGCCAGCTTTTGACCACCCGCTTCAGCTTGTGCATCAG